TCATGTAGTCGCGGAATGTCCGTTGTACAAGAAGGAGAGGGAAGTGTACGTGACTGAGCTGGGAAAAATAGATGGAACGTACAGGGAGATGTTTGAGGCATGGAATAGAGAGGAAAGGACGGTAGCTGTACTGGGGCATAGGAGGTGGGTTGAAAAGGCGGGAAGGGATATCGTTAGGATAGACAGACTAGGGAAGACATTTTTGAGCCACCTTTGGCAAAGGAACGACTGGCCATCGGTGATCGGTCCTGTGGGAACAATGCTCCGTCCTCTCGAGGACGCGTGGTCAATGGTCTAACCGCAAAGGCATGCAAAACATAAGAGTACGCCCCCCCCCGCCTGTCAGCCATGGGCCTACCCACCGTCGACTTGAGACCATCGGCCCCAACAAGGAGTCGGGGACGGAACACTTTCTGGTCCCCTCCCTCCTTGTCGCCGCCACCGCTGGCATGCAGGCTGGCCCTGACCTCGATGCCCCCGTCCTCCGGGAGTCGCTCGATGCTGTGGCACGAATGAGAGTAGAACACCTTGATTTGCTCGGGGTACTTAGACTCCACCTGTTTCATGTGTGTGTTTCGTTATTGTGGTAGCAGCAAAATAGACCCGTACCAAGAGATTAGGCGAGAGACATCAGGTGCGGTGCAAGCAGCGAGCAATAGATTAACATATAAGGGGGAGGGGGGCGAAGGCGCACCAGGTGTCCACAAGTGGCTAGAACAGCTCCATCCTGCAGCTACCGCATCAGCGACACATGCACACCTAAAAGAAAGTTGAAATTATTTTAACAAGGGCGTCTAGAACGCAGCACTCGCTATTATAGTCTGTTGTCTTGTTTCGTTCGTTAGGGACGAAAACAAAAAGAAATCGGTCAGCGATAGGGCAGCGGTTTGGACACTGCGCGTTGGATCGCACGGCCATTGCTGCGGTGTTGATGAGATTTGCTGCATGCGTCAAGAAACGTCAACCTACAACCGCTTGTGGACGGAACAGCGCGACTCCCTATGAGGTTGCTGCATGTTGCGCATCTCATGCGCGAAGAAAACACAGCGAAGCACATAGAAGCGATCCCCCCCTCCACCCCGTCCACAAAAAAAACACCCAAAGCACGTCTCTGAGAGAGCTCCAATACGCACCTCGCTGTAAAGCAGCTGCTGAAACACGCTGCGGGGCAGCCAGTAGGCCGTAGGGCGGGTGTTGTCGATGATGGGAAGCGACAGCTCCTTGCGCTTGCCATCCGCGGGTATCCTCGTTATCGTGAACTCCCGCGTGTCGACGGAAATTTCCGCGAGCTGAGGGGGGGGGGGGGGGGGGG